TACCCAAAATTAAGTACTTTTCCCTCAATTCTGGGGTTCAGCCCAATAACCCAAATTTGAGTAAATCGCATATAGTAGTTTCCATTTAACACCAGCAAAAAAATTACCTGCTCTTAAGTATATTCTACCCAAAATTAAGTTTAATTCACGTAAATTTGAGAATATGCAATTTACTCAAAAGTAACTTATTGGGCTGAACTATATCGTTGGGTCGAATCTCTCGTTCCTTTTTTGACAACAAGAACGAGTGCAAGTGAGAGGCTGAAGTCAATATTAAGTAAAAAGAACTCAAATTTTGGATAGTATTTTTCCTCCGTGCAGACTAACGGAAAAGGCGGCAAATGAGATTTCAGTGCAGCCAGTAAAAACATCGATGAAGGGGTATTTTTGACAGTTGTACAATTTTTGTTTTAAAACTATGCACTTTTAAAATCACGGGTCAAAAGTGAAAGAAAAACATTCAATTTGAAAAACTGACTTTTATTTCGAATATTTTCATTGTTGAAACAAGGAATTTAGGGACACTTTCAAGTCAAAAATGCATTATTTTTATTGATACAATTTTTGTTGTTTGTGTGTATGTGTGGTTACATATAAATTTTATGTGTACACTAAAAACTATGTGTCTGACACTTCTATATCATTTTTATTTTTATTCATTTTTGTACCAGCAGTGTTGCCATGTGGTACAATCCAGTAGTAGTGGTGTTGCCATGTGTTACATTTAAAAATTGAAATAGCAGGTTAGTCACCAAAGTTTTCGAGCCGCTCCGTCTGTCACTTCGTTTGTGCTACTACTGCTACTACTGAACTAGCATTTTCACCAAATGTACTAGAATGTTTTGGTTCTATCTCTTTCACTCTACTCAAAACTGAAATGCATAAAAAAATGACAAAATGATACGCACTCTTTGCACACTGTCAAATAATCATTGTACACAAAATCAACTTTGTGCAAAACCAAAACAAAAAATACTATCCCATCTGGTGGATGATGGCACAAGCTTCTAAGAAAATTCTATTACAGCGAACCACATTATTTTAATGGATTTCTTCGCCAGTTAGTCGTCTGTCACTTCGTTTGTGCCAGCAGGATTTTTGCAAAAACGTTACAGAATTAAATTTTTCAACTGTAGATTAAGTTTTGCAGCATCTCAGATGAATCAATTTATCAGGAAAAGTAAAAAGTGTTCCGCTTCCCTAATAAAAAATAACCATAAACGAACGATAACCCAAATCATTGAACTATTCCATAAATGGTTTGGATGATACCCAGAACACGTCGTTAAGCAAATTAACCATACAATTTTTATTAGGGTTCCTATGTCTCAAGGCAAACATTTATGCTCACAACACTCTTTTTGACGTTCTCCTATTCACCACCAGAGGTTGAATCGATCGTTTAGTTTCTATTAAAAAGGCCTATTGCATATTCTCAAATTTACGTATGAAAAAATCAAGCCAGTGACAAGGCCTATACCAACAGCAGCGTTTGACCACAAACGAAGTGACAGACGCTCCGTCTCGAAAACTTTGGTGACTAACCTGCTATTGCAATTTTTCAGTGTACCACATGGCAACACCACTACTACTGGATTGTATCACATGGCAACACTACTACTAGATTGAACTAGCATTTTCACCAAATGTACTAGAATATTTTGGTTCTATCTCTTTCACTCTACTCAAAACTGAAATGCATAAAAAAATGACAAAATGATACGCACTCTTTGCACACTGTCAAAGAATCATTGTACACCAAGAGAGAGGAGCCAGCTCAAATGACAGATGCTTTGTTTTGGTTGTCTTCTTCTTCTTCCTTTTTGTTGAAAAAATTGTTGATGGAAAGAATCATTCAAGCGAGGATGCGCGTTTGTCACTCGGTTTGTTGATATAGTTTTGCCGTCGGAGTGTTCAAACTTGTCGTGAACTGTATGTTGTGAGCAAGTATCTTACTGCATATTGCTTAGAGCTATCGGGTTCGTATTAAACGGGTTTGATTTTGTGAATTCTGGTGATTAGGAGGAGGTTAAAAGTGATACACAGCAGGTAAAATGCGTTGTCAAGTGAAGCGTTGCGGCCGGAACAAAAAAACCCACTCGAATGTGTTGTTTCACCGGTTACCAAACGATCCATTGCTCCAAGCACGGTGGGTTGAGTTTTGTAATGTAGGAGCTGATTTTATTGTCACAGATGCAATGAGAGTATGCAACGTACGTAAAGAATACATATGCAAATAATCATGAAACGTGAAAAATTATAAATGATTTACTGTTTTGCAGATGCATTTTGATGCCATCTGTTATGCTAAGGCTGGCAAAAGCACCAGATTGAGCAAAACTGCAATCCCTACATTGTGTGCTTATTTGATCAATGACGATGACGAGACAAACGACGAAGACGACGGGTACCCAGCGATCCTATCGACATCCTTACCACTCTATTCCTGCCCGTCGCTTCTAGATCACACATACGCTGATTTCAAAGCAATCCCGCCGGATTTTCAATTTGATGACATTGAAAACGCGGATCAAGAAATCATTATCGCCACGGAGAACTCGTCAGAGCTCGTCAGAAGCCATTCGTTTTTGTTACACGATCCATATTTTATTTTTTATTTGTATGGAAGAAAGCATCAACCAGAATTTTGAAAATCACCTCCAGTTAACCAAGCATCAATTCTCTTCTCTTGAAAAGTCTTTAAAATCATTACCTTTGGAAATTCCTGGTTGCCACAATCTAAAAACCAAAATTATCAAAAGATTTTTGAGATTCAAAGCAAAGTCAAATCGTACGAAGAAATCGCGTAAGCGAAAATATGATAGTCGAAGTATGCTAAATTGAAACAAAAACTTCAAATAAGAATCAAGAGATAACACAATAAATATGTCTTTATTTCACAAATTAACAACTATTTTAGTCAGAAATATTGTGCAAAAAAATGGTTATTTTTTAGGAGCTCGGAGTAGTAGCGTACGAATACTTGAGCAACATTGTGCATTAGGTACGACTTCTAGCTTTTTCGGCATCAAAATGATTGTTGCTTGCTCCGATTTTCATACTTCTAGTGGATAGACGATAATCAATTTTTAATTACGTAACGATTGTTCACTTCAATCCCTACAAGTTGTCTCTATTTCAATGGAAAATAAATCATTTGCGTGAAAACTACTAATAACACCCTCTCCCTGCTTCACAATAAGTAACAGAAACGCCGAACGTCCAAAAACATTTGTATTCTGCATTGTCATTAACTGCCATTTCAAAAAAACTATCTTGAAAAAAAAACAATATGCAGATTTTTTTCCGATTAACAATACTTCCCCCACTTTATTGAATCAAAATTTCGGTTCGCAGTGACAGATCATGACTGGTTCGCATTGACGTTTACGCGATCGGCTTCAGAGCTAGCTGGCGCCTCTCTCTTGGATTGTACATAAAATCAACTTTCCCGCATAAGCGCGAACCATAAATTGACCTTACCGATAATGGTTATAAATTGTTTATAATCCCTGCTAAACTTCAACTGAAATGGTTATGGAACTTTACATGAACGTTTAATGATAAAGTTTTAACCTTAAGTATTATAGTTTTTTGGAAGTGGACCTTACCAATAATGGGTTGTTAAGAACCATTACCATTCAAAATTCTTGTTTTCTCCATACATTTTCGGAAAGAAAACTATATTAGAACGTTTTAACTTATGGTTTGAGAACATTAATGGTAATGGTTATGGTAACCAGTAAAGTTCATGAATGGTTTTGTAACATCGATCAACTTTATGTGGAATATATCGCGAATTGGTTGCCTGTAAATTACTGATTACCAATTCACGATATATTTCACGTAAAGTTGAGCGATAATACAAAACCATTAATGGACCTTACTGACTACCATAACCATAACCATTAATGTTCTCAAACCATAAGTAAAAACGTTCTAATATAGTTCTCTTTCCGAAAATGTATGGAGAAAACAAGAATTTTGAATGGTAATGGTTCTTAACAACCCATTATTTGTAAGGTCCGCTTCCAAAAAACCATAATACATAAGGTTAAAACTTTATCACACAAACGTTCATGTAAAGTTCCATAACCATTTCAGTTGAAGTTTAGCAGGGATTATAAACAATTTATAACCATTATCGGTAAGGTCATGTGATGGTTCGCGTTTATGCGGGTTGTTCAAATCAAAACAAAAAAACTAACCCATCTGGTGGATGATGGCACAAGCTTCCAAGAAAATTCTATTACAGTGAACCACATTATTTTAATGGATTTCTTCGCCAGTAAGTCGTCTGTCACTTCGTTTGTGGTTTGACAGTAGGCAGCATGTTCCGGGCTCAAATCATTTATTTTGCTGTGCTGGGCCCGCTGTCACTGTATAACATGTTGCCTCCGCGCCTGCCACTGGGCTGGAAAAAATACTTAAGTAAATTTGAGAATATGCAATTTACTCAAAAGTAACTTATTGGGCTGAACTATATCGTTGGGTAAGTAAAAAGAACTCAAATTTTTTTGAAGTATTTTTTCTCCGTGTACTTAATTTTAGGTAGAATATACTTAAGAGTAGGTTATTTATTTTTGCTGGTGAAAAATGGAAACTACTATACTCGCTATTTCAAAACTTCCCAAATTTGGGTAGAATCCACCCAGGTCGGTCAAAACTGAATCTACCCAAAAATGGGTAAACTGTGTTGGGAGTGACAAGTTGACAAATGAGCAACGTCGATTAGATTCATGTCGATGTTCTTCATTTGTCACTTCAAACCGAGCTTCAAACACAGTTCTCCCATTTTTGGGTAGGTTCAGTCTTCGACCGATCTGGGTGGATTCTACTCAAATTTGGGGAGTTTTGAAAAAGCGTGTATGCGATTTACTCAAATTTGGGTTATTGGGCTGAAACTTGGAATTGAGGGTAAAGTACTTAATTTTGGGTAGTTTTTCATCTCCGTGTAGACCAGACCTATCATTTTTATCTGTTGTTTACTACTGGTGTCACGACGCTCGCTTTTCACCGGCTATAAAATTAAAATAAATTCTACATAATCTATCTTTTAACTGTGCGATTGATTGAGTTAGAAAATAACTAATCAAATTGTTTGATTATGTCGAATAAACAAAAACGGGTTGACTTTAAGAAAACTAAAAGGAAACTAACGACTGATGCTAGTGCAGGACAAAGTTGGAAAACAATTGCGGTAACATGTACTGGCATAGCTGTTCTTGGTGTCGTGGCTGCGATTGCTTATCAGGGTTTTCTCGAAACAAGAGTTTCAGCTCCTTTTAGCCAAAATAAAGTAAGTATACTTATGTATTATAAACAATTCTTGTAAAACCTATATTATAAACAACTCCTGAAAATTAATTTGCCTCAAGAAATCACTAGAATAACATTATTTTACCGTAATTTACATATCAAGAACAACATGTGAAAAGCTTTTAGTACACAAACCTTTGTAGGCCCTTTCCTCGCATACCCAGCGATGCCATTGATCCTTATTTGTTTTACACGAAAAAAGTTGGGACCCCCTTGTTTATTTTGAAACTGTGTGGTTGTTCTTTCATAGGAGACTTATAGCGAATTCGCTTATTATCGGGGTTGGAACCAGCGCTAACCCAGTGCAAACCTCAACCTGAGCTAGGTTTTAAAAACAAACGAGCAAACTGACGTTTGTCAGAAAACAAGTAGACCCAATCTTGATACCCAATCCAGGTTGGAACTGAATAATAAACGAATTCGCTATTAGCCCAGGTGCCCACTGATGGTGTGGGTATGAGGCATCAGTTAGCATGACAAAACATCATGTCGACGTTCGCCACATGATTACGACATGGTGTATGATGCCACATCACCGCCACACCGGTGGGCGCCTGGCCTTCAATAACTGCGATCAGTAATTAGATTGATTGTGTTACACTGAACCAAATTGTCCACACATGAATGTATGATTATTGCTTCACTTGAGCCCCATACGGATTATTTTTCTATTTGAGAAAGATTATCATTCTCTGATTCAGCTTTCAAAGCACAGAAGAACTGAATAGCATCAATTCTAAAACAGGATGATTTTCATTCTGCACACTGTAAACCATCAGTTCTAAATCAGCATGATTATCATCCATTCTTAGGAAGACTTGCAATGAACAAATCGTATGATTAACATTGAGAATGATACGGACTCGTCATACAATTTCAAAATAAATTGTCATGCAATGTTCAAATGAAATATAAGTGCAATCTGAATGAAAAATATATAAAAAGAAGAAAGCTTATTTTACAGTTTAAAAATTGTGATCATAACAAAATATATCTGTCCTAAATCGTTGGAACAGTAAATTAATGTTGTAAATGAAACGCTTTTGCTTTAAAAGTTGGACAATAGTGTTATTCATTTATTTAATATATTTTTCTGCGAAACATAACTTTTCTTCCCATTTCTTCTAATGTAAAAGGAGGGCCATCGAAAATTGTCATTACATTGTTTTGATACAGCGCTCCGTTGACAAAATTGCAATATCTATTACTTGTTTTCCTTAGATTGTACATATTTTTAATTATTTCAGACAGCACATCTTCGGTTTCGAGAAATTTTCTGATTTGAAACTCTAAGTTCATTAAGATTAAATGTGTAGTTTTGATGTTCGTGTCACTTCCTGCTTCATCGATACTACCGTTTTTAGCAATAAATACTCTCGGTTTACTGAAAAGGTCCGCCTCTATAAGAAACTTAAAGAACTTGTGCTCTGTATCAATGCAATTAAACATTGAAGACATGTTTTGTAGATACACGTCTGTAATATACTGTGTTTGTGGGTCTCATGCCTGCAAAGGTACTATGGAGCGGATCAGGTTTTCAAGGTGACTATATAATTTCTTGACGCTAGTCTGGACATCAAAAACATCCTTCCGTGTTATGTTGCGTCGCTTGTGGAGGTCAAGCACGAAGTTCAGTGCCATGGGGTCAATGTTTTGTAATGACTGAAGAATCTCACAGCTAGCGGAAGTCGTTGGTCTCCTTGGGAAGGTACTCCTGCATCTGATTCCTAGGATTGGAAAGATATATATTATTAATGATGTTCAATAACTTGAGTCGGTCGAAATATTTCGTGGGGGGTTTTGGAACAGTTTTTTTTACTCGATGTTTTCCATTAAAAAAAAAACTCGCCATAGATGGTTCCATCGTGATATCTACCACAAACAAAAAGATCATCATCGCTTACCGGTCTCCTGGCTGGTCTTCCCGTCCACCGGATAGTGTTATTCCGAATTCTTCGGTGGTCTCTCGTCCTACAACAGTTCCTTTCCGACAGAAAAAAAAACCCACACCACACCTTGCACCGAACAACAATTCAGCAGCAGCATCAAGGCAGGATCAGCCAGCGCCAGCTTCTACGGGGCAGCCATGGCAGGCGGACAATTTTATTCTTCGCTCCCTGTCCGTCCGTACCCTAGCTGTTCACTTTGCAATCGGAATTGCTTGTTAGCTTCTAGCTGCTTTTTATCTTGTTCTGTCCGTCCGTCGGACGAAACCCCACGCACACCACACACACTCTCGGAAGCTCACGGATAGGAAAAAAATAACCAGCCAAAAAGCAGCGGAGAAAGGCTAGCACTGCGGTGCACTGAAATGCACCTTTTCTGCGGTCACACTTGGCACCAGCTGCTTCCCGCGGCTTCCGGCAGTAATTTTGCACCACTTTGCGACAGTTTTTCACTAATTTTCACCAATTTTTCGATCACTGGGAGCCACCAAAAACTGCGAATGTTGCCCCTTTGCTCAGTGCGCGTTCATCCAGCTGCGAATATAAAATGGCGAAGCCAAAACGCAACGGGAAACTGGAACGATATTAATCGCATGACAGTTGTTCTATGATTTTCGTCATGGGGCTAACTTGGATGATTTTACTTCATTTCTGTTCTTGAATTCATTTTTTGTTAATACCTTTCAAAATTTGAACGGTACTTCATTAAGTGGTTGATGTTAGTTTCTTTTATGATATTTATGATGAATCATCCCATTTAATGTCAATTATCAGTCAATCGGGTATCTCATATTATTTTCGATGTTAATGAAATCGGATAGCTCTGTCAACTAAATCTCTTATATGAACAATAAACCAAAAGTGCCAGCCCATGCAACGTCAAAAAGAGCTAAAACATTTAGATGGTGGTTATCGCACCAAAAGACACGAGCCTGGATGTTGGTCTGTGGAAAATATGAAATTTTATTTATTAGTGGTAATTTTTGATATGTTAGCGGCGCCGGTGGCGTAAAGGTAAGCGTAATTATCTCTCACACCAGCAGGCCTGGGTTCAATCCCAGTCGACGCCGCCGGGATGTTCTGAGGCATAACATCTCTGATCACGCCTTCCTTCGGAAGGGAAGTAAAGCCGTTAGTCCCCAGTTCATGAGTTGATGGGTCGATAGGTAGGGTCCAGGTGTGGAAGCTGCCTCCCTGGCGTCGGTAGCATTGATGCACAGCACGGAAAACAAATCAAGGAAGAAAAAAAGATGATACGTTGCATAAACTGCTTATATTTTGTTGCAATGAACGAGCAGATATGTGCAATAATATCTCCATAATACTAACTTGAATCGTGATGCTGTCTGCAGCAAAGTTGTTCCTTATAGTTTAAGCTACGTGTGCTGACATTCTGATCTTAATCGAGTTTGCGGAACCAGTTCTATGCACGAAAGAGTGAATGAATATTATTTCTCCATACATTTCAACTAATATCCCCATATAAGTTTTAAATCAAAAGCCCCTTCTCGTATTACATCCGGATGATCTGAAATTTTCAGATACTGGTTTTTTCACCTAATGGCACAAACGTAGGGGTTGGCCCGTTGAAAAAAAAATTAACTACCCTATAAAAATGTGGGCCAGTGTATTGTGGTATGTATGAACTCCAATCTGATATTATGGTATAACTTTCTCAATGAAGTTTCTTACCAGTTTCCTAGTTTCTTACTGAACTAAAACAGTAGACCAGATCTCGTTAGGCAAGGAAACACACTTGCCGAGAATCCAGAGTCTGAACTAATGCACTGCATTAACACAATAAGTGTTCCGAAGCTTCAATTTCAAAATTACAGAAGCTATATCATCTATCGGCGTAACTATTTTTTTAAGATTATGTTTTCGTACAGTGTCCGGTCAATGGATCAGTCAGCGTACTACTTAAATCTACTTTGTTCAAGCTGAATAGAGTGCATGTGATTCTTTTACATAATGTAATGCATTGTTTTGACTGTCGTAATAATGAAAGAGTAATCTGTATTAAAAATGGAACCAAAATTTGATCAATTGGGTTCTTTAATTTTGAAAAATTTATCGTTTTTTATACATCATCTGAAAGAGCTTCGTTGTACGCCTTCCTTATTCGGATTGACATCGAGACTAGACTTGGCTAGTTTTTTGTACTTTGCCGCTGGTGGGTGGGCTTAATCTCATGCTCCACAATGCAGTATTGGAGACGGTGGGTTTTTGGCCGGCGTCGCTGGCTCATGCCGCGGTAAAATGGTGTTATCATAACACATCATATCATAACACCATAACACTGTTATGGGTAGGCTATGGGGCTCGCGATGGGGATTACTGAGCCTCCCCTCTCTGATGAACCATTGCATCAGAGAACTAAAGATCTAGCCTTGCAGTGATAGCACCGTCGAAGTGATAGTATTACACATGTTACTCCTTTGATTGAGAGTCGCGTTGTAGTAGACTTATGTATAGGTGTGATACTAACGGGTATTGCCGCAAATCACTCTTTTTTATACAGTTGTTTGATTTGGGTTTGAGGTGCTTTAAGAATATTTCAGGAAGCGCCCAATAGTGTTCCTTCTACTTGCGTGACAAGCTTTAATTGTTGTTGCTATTGAAGTATTATAGGGGTACCTGGGGTAACATGCACCATTAGGGCAAGATGCACTTCCTTCGTTTTAAGCCTATAAACCATGTTTACAACAAAGTAGTTACCCTACAAGCTAAATCTATGTTTACTTTGGACACCGTATCAATTTGGCAGCTCTACGTTATCAGATAATGGAAATAAAAACAAAAACAAGTTGGCATTGGATATAGTGTAATTTTGTCCTGCGTTAAGATTTTTTAGCGATTCAAACATTATTAAGCTTTTTTTCAAATCTTGATTATGATTCTTTTTATTTTATGGTCAAAAACATTTTCTTTATGCATTCAGGGCAAGATGTACTCAAGTTCGGGGCAAAATGATCCTTTGGTAAACAAGCTTTATTTACGCTACGATCGGAACTGGAGGCAGCCAAAAACGAAA